AAAAAAAAAAAAAAACACTCGTGTACGAATTCACCATGAGATTCTTTATATGTCAAGTAAAAAACAGGTGTCCCTTCACACCCAAAGGAGTTCGCTATGTGTCATCCAAAAAGATATCCAACGTACGTTTTGTTAATGTGGGAGTGGTGCATGCTGGACTTGTTCCACTTGCCAATTTGTGCAAAACAGTTGAGGGTGATTTTTGCGGCACACAATGATGCTTCCCTTTATGGTCACACACATATGTACCGAGTGATCCTCATAAAAAGGACGACACATTGGACACTTCTTCGACCATATCAGTCTAACACGTTGCATATGTTATGCTTATCCATTATCCTCTCCCCCCCACCCCTTTTTAGTACTACCCCCCCCAAGGGCCAAGCGTTAAAGACATGGATGAGGAGTACAAGAGGTTCCTTCAATTGAAGAGAAGAGAAAAAGTTTTACCCGACAATAAAATTACAAGCATTGATATTAATACGTTTAAAAAGTATAAGCACAAAAACAACCCCATTTTTTCCACCGAATTTAAGGTGTTCATAACTGGTTTTTTAATTTGCGGTTGGTGCGTTTTTGCAATTTATCTGACCGTGAGGATTATGTCTCCTGATGATTTCGAATGGGTGGAAAGTGAGAGGAAGAGACTGGAGGATGCCAAAAAAAAAATTATGATAATAAAGGAAAGGGGACAGGAGGTGGACCCCGTGTGAGGACAGGGGAAGCGTTCCCAATTTGTATTAGCTATTTGGAAAAGTAAAAACAAAAAAAAAAAAAATACAAGAACGGTGCAACAAAAAAGTGCCTGAACAGGCAAGGTTATAAAAGGGTGGTATGACAAGCCAAAATAAAATAGCTATTTTATTTTTTTTTCTCCGTGTGCAATGTGCTTTTTTTTGGCTACCTACCTATGCACCACATGCAAAACGCCTGAACAGTTCATATATTTTTTATTTTTTTTTTGTGAAAAGACATATCCCGCCGTTTTAAAAAGCATCATGTGGGGACAAAGCAATGGAGATGTGCATGCACAACCGTTTGGTCATTGTTTCGGCACTTCTCTTTTTCGATGTTGGTCACGTGTGATGCAGTGAGGGATCGTGCTGTTGTCCTACCGCGTGGTGTATATGGGCGGCAAATCGTTAGTGACAAATGAGTAGTGACGAACGATGAGTTAAACACGTTTCCAAAGCACTGTAAGCGATGGTTGCGCCAAAGCGACGTGTAGTCCTTTCCGTCGACTGGAGAATTATGCGAATCACATCGTGCTTGCATACAATGTTGCGCTTTACGTGTGGGTGATCATCTCTACAACGTAAAGAGACAACATTTGCCCCCCCCACATCCTTTTCCCGAGAGTGCATTAAGTCGATACTCCCATTAATTGTTGCGCAATATAGATATGCATGAACGTGCCACTTGGTTGTGAAACGTTCGCTTGGTTCTATTTTTTGTCGCAACGTAACTCGTGTGTGTGCTTAGCCTCCCATTTGTTCCTTCACTTTTGCTACGAACAATTGCTCCAAAGGGTTGGAAGGGGGCGCGCGGATGGAATGAGGGGGGTTACAAAAGTGACACCTAACCTGTGTTACACATTTTGATGCACCGGGTTAAGCAGGTTTTAAATGAATGGTAGTTGTGAGGATGTCGTTTCTGTTTTCCTTTTTTGTACTTTTTTTTTTTTTTTTTTTTTTTTTTGCTGCGCGATGGATGCCTTCGTTTGGGGGCTACCTCCTTTACAGTTGCAGGCGGGACACAAGTACACCTTCCGTGTGTTTGGCTCTCCTTTGACCGGTCACTTTTTTGTATTCGTGGATTGTACTGTTTAAACCTTTTCAGCTTTGCGAGCCCCGCGGTAGAATTTTTACAGGCATTTATTTTCTCGCGTGCGAGCTTGCCGCTCTACGCGCTGATATTTTTCCACGCATGTACGCCATGGAGAGGGCACAAATCGCCGTGCCTCTTTGCGCTCGCGCACACGACTGTAATTAATATAATCTTGTGTCAGCGTACAGTTGCGTGTGTGTTCTTTTTGTTTTTGCTCAGCATAGCGCTGCGCAACCCGCAACACACGGTTGGTATTGTTCTCACCTGTGGCGATGGCTGTGGCTGTGGCTGTGGCTGTGCCCATTCAGAAGGAAGCAAAAAAAAAAAAAAAATAAATAAATAAAGCGAAGCAGAACAGAAGAGGGGGAAAGAGAGGATGAAAAAAGAAGAAAAAAAAAAAAAAAAAGTACACTCAATAAGCGTGATAAACATGACAAAAGTGACAATCGCGCCAAACAAAACAAATTTGTTTTAAACCCCTATTTGCATTACGGCGCACACCATGAAGAAAAAAAAAAAAAAAAAAAAAAAAAAAAAAAAATCCCTTTCTGCGCAAGAAGCGTTTTTGTACATATTGGAAAGTGCGCAATAATAACGTACCTTTGAATTGTTGTCTTTTTTGAGTTCTAAAAAAATTAATTTTTTTCCCCATCTCCTCCGCTTTAAGCCATTATGTTGCAGCACACGTGAGCACGTGCTCATCCGTTAATAATATACATGAGGGTGTTCTCACACGGGTTCTTCTCGCGTAGCACCTGGTGACCTCGCCATTTGTGTATGTGCGTTTCTACATATGCGATAATTTTTCTCGTTATTTTGTGAAGTGGCTTGCCCAATTTGCAAAGCTGTTTGCGCATATATATTTTTTTTTTTACACCCCTTTTTTGTGCATTTTTTTCCCCCTCCGCGAATGACCCCCCCATTTGCGCAAAAATGATCACTTAGGGGAAAAAGCCAAGGTACATGTACATGTGGGTGTATGTACACATGCACATATTCAGACACATGCGCATGTCTGCACACATTTCGCGTGCGAGTTTTTACATCTACGCTTCGCGCGTGTGTAGGAGTTATCTGTGCCCGTGTTTGGAGTTATCTCCGCCGTGTTACGAGCACGGATGAGCATGTTCACGTTTTTGCCTTCGTCCCCGCTGGAGAACTTTCTGGCCGCAGCGTGTCCGCGCCGTTAATTTCACGCCCCTTCGCCAGGTGAGCGGTTAATCTGTTAAGCGGTAAGCGGTTAATTGGTTAATGGGCCACTCGCTTAACCTGCCAAACGCTTAACCCGCCAATCGTTTAACGTGCGTCATTGCTACTTGTCCGTGCTGACCCGCGTGCGGACGCTTTTCTCACCTCATCTGATCGCCCCTGCCTTCGCAGCGCCCCCTGACCTGCACAAGGTCCGTGTCGCCACCGACGTAAATCCTGCCACGGGAGTGTATTACCTGTGCGATCGATCCATCAACGCTTCGCTTAGCATCGCTCCGCATCGCTGCGCTTCGCTCCCCCCCCCCTGCATATGACGAAATGGGGTGCAATCAGAGTAAGAGTGTACACGAGTTTCGAGTGAAGAGCGGGAGTTGCGTAAATGAACAGGAGCAGGCGCGAGATGGAAATGGAAATGGAAATGCGTCGGACGAACTGGCAATAAACCCAGGAATGTACGTGCGAAAAAAGGAGGGTAAAATAGGAGAGTCATATTTTAAAATCAGGAAATTAGGAAGTGGAGCGTACGGAGAAGTTTTGTTATGTAGAGAAAAAAATGGACATACTGAAAAGGCAATAAAAGTGATAAAAAAATCTCAATTCGATAAAAAAAGATATTCAGAATGTAGAAATAAGAGTTGTGAAAATGAAGAAAGTTTGAATGAAGACATATACAATGAAATATCTTTATTAAAATCATTGGACCATCCGAACATAATAAAGTTGTTCGATGTTTTTGAAGACAAAAAATATTTTTATTTGGTGACTGAATTTTATGAAGGAGGAGAATTATTTGAGCAAATTATTAACAGGCATAAGTTTGATGAATGTGATGCTGCTAATATTATGAAACAGATTTTAAGTGGCATTTGTTATTTACACAAGCATAACATTGTCCATAGGGATATAAAGCCGGAAAATATTTTATTAGAAAATAAAAACAGCTTGTTAAATATAAAAATTGTGGATTTTGGCTTGTCCTCTTTTTTTTCCAAAGATTATAAATTGAGGGATAGACTTGGCACAGCATATTATATTGCGCCAGAAGTATTAAAAAAAAAGTACAATGAGAAATGTGATGTGTGGTCTTGTGGGGTGATCATGTATATTCTGCTTTGTGGGTACCCTCCTTTTGGTGGACAGAATGATCAGGACATTATTAAAAAGGTGGAGAAGGGGAAATATTATTTTGATTTTAATGACTGGAAAAATATAAGTGATGAAGCTAAAGAACTTATAAAGCTTATGTTGACCTATGATTTTAATAAAAGGATAACTGCTAAGGAGGCTCTAAATAGTAAATGGATTTTGAAGTATGCAGATAATATAAATAAGAATGACCAAAAGACTTTGTATGGTGCTTTATCGAACATGAGGAAATTTGAAGGAAGTCAGAAACTTGCCCAGGCCGCCATTCTCTTCATCGGTAGCAAACTTACCACTCTGGAGGAGAGGAAGGAGCTCACGGACATTTTTAAGAAGCTCGACAAGAATGGGGATGGGCAGCTGGACAAGCGCGAGCTCATCGAGGGATACAACATACTACGCAGCGTAAGTGTCTGTCATCTGTGGTGGGGAAGCGGCCAATCTGCACAGATGAGAAAAAGAGGGCTAGTTGGATGTGTTGGGAAGTTTTTCCTGGAGAGTGTTCTTTTTCACACCCCTCTACCGACTAACCGCCATGATAACCCTTTTTTTTTTTTTTTTTTTTGGTGCCGCCTCCCTCCCATTATGCAGTTCAAGAACGAGCTGGGTGAACTGAAAAACGTCGAGGAAGAAGTGGACAACATTCTTAAGGAAGTGGACTTTGACAAAAACGGCTACATCGAGTATTCAGGTAGGGGATTCTCCGGACGCGTCCCGTCCAGGCTGGCTTCATGCACGTCCCTTCTACGGTCACTCCATACACGTTGCTTCCACCTCCACTTCACCCCCCCCCTCCCTGGCAGAGTTCATTTCCGTCTGCATGGACAAGCAGATTTTGTTCAGCGAGGAGCGCCTGCGGGACGCCTTCAACCTGTTCGACACGGACAAGAGCGGGAAGATAACCAAGGAGGAGTTGGCAAACGTAAGGAGGGAGAAAAAAAAAAAAAGCAGGACATCATGTGGCGTGATGTGACATGATGGCGTGGGGATTTCCCACCACGTGCGCCCCTTCATGTACATTCCTCCCTGCACGTCTCTCATCTTGGCCTCTACACTCATCACCCCCTTCAGCTCTTCGGCCTGACCTCCATAAGCGAGAAAATGTGGAACGATGTCCTTAATGAGGCGGACAAGAACAAAGACAGCATGGTAAGGATGGAAAGAGTGTGCGTCAAATGGGAGAGCGACAATTAAGTCCGTGCATATACACCGGTGCAATTTGCCCCCCTTCATCACCGCGACTGCTCCTGTTCCCCCCCTCAGATCGACTTTGAAGAATTCGTGTCAATGATGCACAAAATATGCGACCACAAGACGCCCTGAGGAGAGAGGGGCCAAAGGTCAAACGCGGCGCGACCAAACCAACCCCAACAAGAATAAAAATTAAAGACAAAATCTGAGGCCATTGTAAATTCATATTCGAATTATAATTCAAATTCAAATTCAAGCTTAAGATGAAGATTAAGCGTAAGATTATTTTCCTTTCTCCTTTTTTTTTTTTTTTTTTTTTTGTATTTTCGCTTTTCGTTTGCTTTCGTTTTTACTTTCTCTTTTACCTTTGCTCCTGCTTCCCCCCAAGTTTTTAAAACCGAACCATTCCCAGCACGTTTATTTTTTTTTAAAGTTTCCATGTCAATAATTTTTTTTTTTTTTTTTTTTTTCCATTTTGACATACGTAACGCATTTTATTTAACAAATGGGAAAAAAAAAAAAAAAAAAAAAAAAAAATGAAGTGCGCTCGGAAAAGCAGGAGGAAATCAATGGTCTTGTCTACAACATCGGAAAAGTGGGAGCTTTCACGTAGTGTGTGTAGCACGCGGTCCAGTAGGGCGTTAACATGGTTATCTGATCAAGATTGACAGACGCGAATTCAACCACTTGGGTTGAGCGAGGTCAATTCGTTAAACATATGTTGGTGCCAAACAACCGTTAAGAGACAAACAAAAAAAAAGGACAAAAAGGAAAAAAAGGGGAACGAGGGGGAGGTGTGTACACTCCTCGGCGATGTGTGCGTAGGTACAGAAAAAATGCTTCGCGGGGGAGCTACGTGTGTAAGGTGTCACGTGGCAAATCAACACACAAGTGCATATATAAGTGTACACACGCGCATATATATATATGTGCGCATGTGGAGGCTCGGCGGCCTATCCCAGGTTGGCCGTGTGGTACAGCTTATTCACATACTTGTGGAAAAACAGGTCGTCCGAATTGGTCTTCGAAATGTTGTTATTTTTTTTTTTGCAGAGTCTACAAATTTCTTCATAAAATAAATTGTAAATGTCATTCTTGTCGATATTTTTGAAAAGCTTCATTTTGTTTTCCTTGCGGACTTTTATTTTTTTTTTTTTTGCAAAATATTTCCTCTGCCTTACGTAGATGTCTGTGGTGCTTGAGGAATACTTGTACTCGATTAAATTTGGGTACCTCTTGAGATTTCCTTGGGTTTCACTTTTCTTCCTCTGCAGAAGGTCTTGATTGTCTTCGAGAATTTTGTTCAGCAGGTTTTCTCCATCGCCCGCGCCAGTTGGACATGTGTCCTTCTGACGTTCGGATTTTTCACCTGCGCTGTGTGGGACTTCCCTCTCGTTGCTCGAATTGAATTTTTCGTACGAACGAGTGGCATCCCTGCCAGAGTCGTCCTCCGTCACCTCCACGAAACGGCCGTTGTGCGAGTCACAACGATGATCACTTCGTGCATCACTTGGCGTGTCACTCTGCCTTTCGCTGCTCGATTCCCCAAGTGACTCACCATTCGGAAATGAACTGTTGCTGTCATTGGAGCTGAAGCTACTAGAACTATCTCCTTGTTCGTTCACATTTGGTTGCAGATAATGGGAGAGTAGGTCTCTTTCCACACCCTCATCATAACTCAAGTGTGTATATTCGAATGTCCTGTCCGTTTCGTGCACTAAGGAGCTGTTTATCCTGCTCACCATTTTTTCGTATGACTCATCAATGAACATGAGCTGTATGTTTTTGCGCAGCGCGTTGTGGAAAATCTGCAGGGGTGGGAAGGAGGTAGACGTGGGCATGTATACGGAGGCGCTCACTACACACACGAGGTAGACACAACGTAGACACGACGTAGACACGACGTAGACACGACGTAGACATGACGGAGACATGATGGAGACACGACGCAAAACACGTTCATCACAGTGGCCGCCCTCTCTAGCACTAACTATTTTCGCGTCGAAGCCGCACTTCTGCCAGCCGCTCTCGGATGAAAAGCTGCCAGCGCTCCTGGAGTTAAACTCCTCATCCTCCGTGGAGGAGTAAGTAGAGTTAACAACACTTATCCGTTGCGAATTGATGAGTGAGTCGAAGAAACCATCGCACGAGAATATTTTTTTTATTTCCATGAGGAAGTAAAAGGAATCGTATGATATGGAATACTCAGAGTTGTAAAAATAAATTTTGTCATTTTTTAAAATCATAACTTTTCTGTCAAACTGGTCGCTTGAATTTTTCATATACACCTTCATGCAGTACTTCCTTTCTTCCGGCGTCATTTCGAACGGGCTGCCGCTCGACCTCCCCCGTGTGAACTTTTGTTCTTCGAGGTCTCCGCTGTGTAGGCTGCTCACATCTGATTGGCTACTATAGCTGTGTTCGTTATAAGAGTGCCGTTCTACACCTGAGTTGTCCTCTTCGCTTTTACTCTCTCCACTGGAGACGTTCCCCTGGGATTCCTGCGCGGTGACTCCATCACATTGTTCGCCCTCCGACGTGCGGGAACTCGTTTTTGATTTTTTTTTTTCACTTCCAGAATTGTTCATAATTTCGCTTTGGCTAGCTGGGACGTTTGGCCTTTCCCCGTCACTTTCCACCTGACCATGTTCATAATTTTTTTTTTTTTTTTTTTTTTTTTTTTAAATAC